TTTTCCGCTTTTCTTATGAACAATTGATCCATAATTTACATAATATATAGTTTTTTATTTCTTTTTTGGGCCTTTTTGTTTTATGCGTACGAAAATTGTTCTTTGGTTCATAGTTTGTTATAGTTTGAATTTTAACTCAAACTTAAGCTTTAAAGTTTGAAGTCGCTTTTCTGAAGTAAAACTATTACTTATTAACTTGATTACTACTTTGTTAACCACTTTTTCTAAGAAACAAATATATGGCTAATTTGGAATGCTAAGTAGGATTTTCCCTATTAAATTAATCTCTAGATTATGGACTCGTCGAGTATCGGGGTTAAATTACGGGTACAAACCTGGATCAAAGCCAAAGAAAAAGACTTCAATGTATGGAAGGTTGCTTCTCCTTTCAAAGGAAAAAGTTAAAGATTCATAATTACATCAGTTAAATATTTTATAATGACTACACTTATAGATATTGTCATTGAAAGACAATATTTTTAAGATTTAGTATGAAATTACTAGATTTGAATGTTGAAATCAAGAACTTTATGGTCAGCGCTTATATATTAGTACCCGTATTTCCTATGAGGAGGAAAGGGGCCAGGGTTTAGTTAAGAGAAAAATACCATTTAAAATATAATGAAGTGAATTCTGTAGTGAAGTCTGTAACTTTTCTGTATTATTATTTGGATATAATTTGATAAAGGATGTTTATGAATTCTATATCTATTTCACTAATTGCACTGTAAAATATTTTAAGGACTTTAAATTGCCATATCTGATATTTATATTAATACTATTTTTTGTTTAGAATAACAGTTTCACAAGAATATAATATTGTTAATATTTAGTAGCTTTTTCTTGTGTTGCAATGCAAATAAATTTTTCAATTTTTTTTTATTTTAAAAATGTAACAATGCTGCAATTGTATGCCTTTAAAGTTGAAAAAAACACAATAAAAATATTTATGGACGAAACATTAATTAAGTTGTAAATAAATTGCCATCATTTATGAAACAACACGTTGTGCAGCAATAAATGTAATTCATGCATAGAAATCGGAAAGGACGATGAAAGTAAAATAAATAATAAATTATATTAAAATGGAAAAACATCTAAGAGAAGCACTAACTGCGGCTCCATACTAATAGATAATATCTATAAAGAAAGCCGAAAAAATATTTAGGCCCTGTAGGTTACTATTTGCTAATTGCTAACCTTTGTAATCCTTGTTAAACTATTTGGTTTTCCAGATGAAGTTTAGGAGATCCGATGAGTTTGCTTTCGTTATCTCTTCCAAGTCAGTGAAAATGTGATTCCCAAGACATTGAAATCGCCTTGTCTGAAGTGGTGGACAGAGACACAGGAAGTGGTTCTAGCGACCTCACAGTCAGCTTGCTTGCCTACTAAAGTGAGATAAAATGCTTTATAGTTAAGCCCTTTATTAAATCAAGAATTTGCTAAGTATTTGGAATTGATGGTCTTTACAGGTTAGTAAGCTTAGATAACTACTATTGCCTATTACTTACATATTAAACTAAGAAAAAATTCTTTTTACTGAATATTTCTATTACCTCATAAAGAAGCTAAGTATTTGGATTTGCTGATCCTTACAAGTCACTTGAACAGTCAGCTCTTATAAATAATTTAACTACCTTATAATCATTTACCTTATATACAATCGATATGGAGAGTACCTATTTAATAGATTATCAAGTCATGTGATATATATATGAAATTTGATTGAAGCAATGGTGAACTTATATTTCTTAAATTTTTTATTAGACAATTAACGTAATTTTAATGCAAAATATATATAAAAGTTAATACAACCTTCTCTCCAAACTAACAGACTTTAATTTTTTTGCATATATTTTTCATTATCCTTATATTTTTTATAAGGACTGTATTTGTTTTTGTTGTATGGAAATATTTAATTAAATTTTGGCCTGATCGAACGTACACGTATAAAACATTTATTAATATTCGCAATGAAGTTAATATAATAGAACACAAACACTCATACTTTAATTAAATATAATAACGTGCAATATGTATGCACTGTATACATAGCCCCCTGAAGGATGTGCCCCCGACACGTATTGGCAAAATCGTTAGTGTGTTTAAGGGCGAAAATTATTTTGATTCTTATTTTTATTAAAAAAGCGTGCAAATTAAATTAGGCAAAATTAATGTACGGGCAGATATGAGTAACATAATATTTCATACTTTATTTACAACCTTCAATAAAGGAAGTGCTGACTTCAGATAGTGCAGTAAAACTGCTACAATGTTCAGTAAAACTGCTACAATGTAGCAGTTATTATTTCGTCCCTGTCGTCCTTTTCGCTCCGTTGCTTTGTTATTGCACACTAAGCACATGTCTGGCATATAAACAATCTGTAAATAGTTTTAGAGCTTTTCTTTTCACGTCTAATGTACAAATCTAATTAAGGTTGTCTCATTGCACTGCTCCAATTCAGATACTTAGATACTGGCCACATTTACGCACTAAAGTTAAATACTTTTCGCTCATGGAATTATAACTGGCCTGTATGTGCTGTAAATGATGCCACAGACCAGCAATGGCCAGCCGCAATAATAACCTCAAATAATCGTAAAAGTAATTTCATTTTGCCCGTTTGTCTCTTTGTCGGATGAATCTTTGCGGGTGAGGAGCATTGTTTGAATGTTCCAATATCTGGTGGTACTGTTTCTAGAATACTTTGGTTTGGCTATTTGACTGTAGCAGTCCTGCCGCATGTGTGCAAGTCGATTTATTTATGACATTAGCCTGGCAGTGGTTTCACTATCTCTGCACAAACTGTGCTGGGCTCTGGTCGTATTTCATTATGAATTTATGATGGTTCAAACACTTTTTTTGCTTCGAAGTCAAATCTGCGCTCTTAAATTTTTGGTTAGCTTAAAATTAGATAAAGTTTTTATATTTCGAAAGGATAAAATTGAAATTGAAGAAAATTATTTGGTTTAATTACTGTTCATCAAAGTAGCTTGAAAACAATAAGCTTTATATGAACTATTCGGAAATATTTAAAAAATTTTATTGTACTTTAAATAAATAAAGAAAATAAAATATTTGTTTATGTTAAATTTTTTATAATTATATTATAGTGATAATTATTATATTAAATTCTAATCGATGGAGTATTGAAAAAATTTGCGAATAATAATCCCTTATGCATAACACTTGCAGTACTCTAATTAACTTATACTTAGTGATAAAAATTTGGATAGTATAGTATAAGTTCTTATTTAGTCACTTTACCTTTAATTTATTGCCGAGTATTAAGTGTGATCACAGGCACATTTATCTACTACATATCAGGGTACGATAATTCTTTAGTACGTGTTCAGGTGATTTAGTTACATTTTCATAGAATCTGCATATGCAACTTAATGGTATTATTAAATCTGCTCACAAGTGTCCTCTATAATGACCAGTATTCTTAGTTTTCTTAGTTTGTTCTTAAATAAGCCAATTATGTATATGTATTTGAATTTATGATGTATTTAAGTCTTTTGCAATGTTTGCTATTGGCCTAATAATCATTTATATTGTCTTTTGTGTAACGATAGATATTAATAAAATATACAAGGTACAAAGCCAGTACGGAGAGTACTCCAATCATGATAGTACTCCTACTATCATAATAGTACTATCCAATGATAGTACTACCAACTATCCAAGACATTGGTATAAGTCCACTTTTTGAACGAAAGCTTAAATGTCAGCTGTTAAGAAGAACCTGATAGCAAATGGGGTTAAGAACTCCAACCCAGTAATCTTTTTCTGGTCCAGATCAAAGCTATACTCTCACAAAGAATGTGACCAAAGGTTTTAACCAAAGTTAACTGTCTATTTTCTAAGATAGACGCTTAACGTTGGCCATAATGTAGCCTCAGTTTTTTTTCTACACAGAATGAAGTTTCTAACGTAGTTGTACAACTTCTCAGCCTGATGGTCACTTGGAGTGTTGTGCGAATATGTTAGCAACTTCTTTTAGTCACAAGAATCGAACGATTAAGTACTTTACTGTTAAAATATTGTACATAATTCATATTGTTGGCACTCCAATTAGTATATATACGATTTGTAATCGAGAAATAATATGAATTTTTGGGTTTTTAGAAAATATAGGCATTTATTTAAAAGTAGTCACAGTAAGCTTCCTGTGATATTATTCATTTATATCCAATTTGAGCAACGCTATTGGGACAAATTTTTAGGTATGATCTTGAGTACAATCTGCGATTTCGCCTTTATGTTATGCATTGTGGGGAATCATTGGCTTTTAGTTTTTTGTTTTAAGTTCGGGAAATACAAAAAGGTCACAGCGTATCTGGGGAATAGGGCAGTTGCGGCTAGCAGTGATGTTATGTTTCGTCACAAATTTTAGGATAAGTAAAACTATTGTCAAACAAGTTTTGCTGCCACGCGTTTCTTGTCCAGAGTTTAATCCTATTTATTCTTTATTATAAAGTACAATCAGTTAAATTTTTCTTATAAATCCATCATTCGTAGACGATAAAGGCATCTTGTCAATGGTTTCGTAGCCATGCTTTTACAAGATTTCCTTTATATCTAGTACATTAAGTAAATAAAATCTCATATCGTTAATAAATTTTTTTGTCTTGTATTATTTATAATATTCTATATCTTTTATCTTTGCCTAAATCGAATAGTTTTATTACAGTGGGAATATAATATACTTTATTAAATAAAAGTGCAGTAACAGAATTAAATATTTAATTTAAACTCTAGCCCTATATTATTATAAATATTTTTAAAACATATGTAAGTTTTTCTCACTATTTATTGTAATTGAAATTAATAACATAATTATCAATAAATTGCCTCAATTTATCCCATTCAAAATGGGATATCCCCATTTAAATCCCATTTTAAATGAGTTATAAGTAGCTGAATATCTTACTTCGTGCGGAGTGTTTTAGTTAAAGTGAAAGTTAATGGATTGACTTCATTCTTCTACCTTAAGATGATAACTTATGCCGATTTAAAACTTTTTTCCATAAATGTGAAATTATGGAAAGTTATGGGTATTCTAGAAAGCAAAAGTTATAAGAGAGCTGTGGCAATCACCGCTTTGCCCATTGTTATGATCTTTGGCGTATTCTACGACGTATATAAGTTCTATAAATTTATTGACGTTTTAGTATTAGATTTGTTTTTTCTGTGTTTATTTATGAATTCGGTAGTACGAATATTTATCATTATGAAAAACGAGAAAAGGTTCGTGGTTATGATGAAAAATATCGAAAAATTGTGTTATGTTATAGAGGTCAGTGCAATCTAATAAATTTGCTAATGTTTTATAAATTGTATAAATTGTATAAGTATAATGTATAAACAGAATTATAATTACTATTTATAGTAACTCCATAAATTTCGGAAATAGATAATCGTAAATATATAATTATATTAAAAAGATAGGTGTTATATATCAGGTAAAGTTGATATGATTTTGGACACGACCAATCCATTAAGTCCAATATTTATGCCTCTCTGAAGCACACATCCTAGAACTACTACCACAGCTGTCTCTTCAAGAACTGTAAATTGATATTCTAGTGCTTTATTATTAGCAAATGGAAAAAAAGACATAGTTGTAAAGTTAAGTTTTTTTTACAGATGGCTTATTAAAAAATTAATATCTCTAGCCACTTGTGGTATTTGATTAATCCGAAATTTGTACTTTGGGTTACACCTAAAATAATGTGGAATTTAGGTTAATTTTTTATAGTTTGTTCAATCGTCCTTCAAATTTTCATAGTTGGCATTTTACTAATTAAAAAAAAAATAATATAATATATAAAATAATATAATATTTTATTTATGTTGAAGCTATTTGAGCCAGTGCATTTGAGCACTTTTACTCTTTAACTCTTAACTCGAGGTATTTTCAAAACCCCTCTTTACGCATTGACTGGATTATACATTATATATAATGTATATGAGTAATCATTAGTTGTTCTAAATTTACCGAGTTACTATCTTATAGGAAATAAGGATAAAATAAATGTAATAAATCTATTTCATAGGGTGACCCCGAGCTAAGTAAAATACTTCGTGAAGGTATCCGTCGTGCTAACAAAATTTCAAAATATGGCTTAATCATCACAAGCATTGCATGTTTTGGTACAACATTATACCCGCTTTTATTAGAAAATAGAAGTATACGTTATGTTGTTATATTGTAAAATTTTAATTTCACGGATTTTTTCTAGAATTACCTATTAAAATTTCTGTACCAGGAATTAATGTATTAGAAAGTCCCTTCTATGAAATAATATATTTTGTGGAATACTTTTTAATTGGCCCATGGGCATTATGCACCTACATACCCTTTACTAATTTATTCATATCTTGGATTATATTCGGGATTGTTTTTCTACGTTGTTTACAACAAAAACTATCAAAATTGGGCGATATGAATAATGATGACATGTTAAGGATCCTAAGAGATTGTGTAAAAATGCATAAGTGGATTATAAGGTGAATATTGTTTGTTTTTATTTTGAAGTGTTTTGAAATATATTATCTATGGTGTTCCATTATTTTTCAGATATCACGAACATTTGAACGAACTAGTTTCATTCGTTAATCTAGTTGAGTTGCTTTTCTCGGGGCTCATGGTTTGTGTGCTATTAGTTTTCATAACAGCGGTAGGATATTTATGGTTTAAGTTTAAGGTGCCTTTAAATATTCATGAAATATATATTTTAAATATTTTTAGTCAAAGAGTTGGATGATAAAATTTCATGGTTCAATTTATATTTTTGGATGCTTATATACGCTCTTCTTGTCATATTGGCATGCAAATGAGTTTTCACTGGAGGTAAGTTGTGGGCGGAAATATTTAAGGTGAAAGCTGAATATACTTCATTGTATTCAAAAAATAAAAACTTCTATTCTAATTGTGTAAACTGTATTGAAAGATCTGGATTCCAAAAATGTTTTTTTATATAATCATAGAAGTACAGTGCGAAAAGATTGCTTTAAACTATTGGTATTAATCACAAATATAATTATTTAGTACGTAATTAATTTTTATATAGTAAACTATAAAATATTATCTTGTTAGAAAATGATTAGTTAAATATGTTCTATAAATATTAAATTCTAGTGGATGTGGAATTGATTACTTTAAAGGCGGATTCTAAGCCGACTACATTTCGTTTTACAATATATAGAAATATATTTTTATGGATAGTTTTTAAATCCTTGGCTTATTTTTTATTTTAATATTATTTAATATAAAAATTTCTGATTAACAATCTACTTACATTAAGTAAGTATAATCTATACTTACTGAAGGTTTTCTTTTTTGCAGAGTGAAAAAGTCGCTGAGTCTGTTTATGGTATCAACTGGATGAATGGCAGTAAAAAATTAACAAAATGTATAGTAATCATGATGAGTCGCAGTCAACAAAGCTTACAGGTATGCTCTAGAATATATTTATATTTATGTTTAATCAAAAGAGCGTAGGAATAATGCTGACAGATGGAAGTATTTGGGATAAAGCGACACACAAAGACTTAGACTATATATTGAGTACATATTGATACCATGCAAACTTGATCTGTGATTCTGCTTATCATTTTAGTAAGTGTGCTAAATAAAAAGTACTAACAACTTGATAAAATAAACCAACTGATCGGAATAATGGATAATGAACAAATAAGCTGTTATTTATCTATTGAAGGTATATCTAAATTAGTTCCGGTTGTAGTTATAGGAGAGTTCATAAGCGCTTAAGATAGTTGGATTTTCCAATACACATTATTCCGCTTATAAATAAATATATATTTTAGTAGCACAATTGTGCACATTTTGGTATATATGCAGGATTCTTTTATTCTAGTATGAGCGATCGTTTTAACATCGGCTAAGTTTGTAAGTGTAGTATTGCGAGAACTGAACTTGAGATAATGTTTCAGCAAAGGTAACAGAAATTTTTAGTATTGGTGGTAATATTGGTGGCCTATGTAATCTTACGTTCATGGATATAGAAATGGTATATAATCTGTTTGTAATTATTTTGAATGTTCTGAATAGGACTTAAGTTAAAATTACAGCGCTCATACAATCATTCAATCAAATTCAATCTAAATAAAAGGAATTGTTTTCTAAATATAAACAAAGTTGTTAAATGTAAGAATCGTATTCTATTGTGTTATTTTTTTTGTTTTCCATAATGAATATATATTATTAATAGCATTTTAATTATTTTACAGTTCCGTGCTGGTAATTGGTGCCCAATGACTCTGGAGACATTTCAAGCGTTACTAAATGCTTCTTATTCATTTTTTACATTGATGCAGCGCTTTTCACCGTAATAATAATGGACTAAAAATGTTTCTAAATTTAGTCTAAATAAATGCAATTATAAAAACATTATTGGAAATATATATTTAAAAATAATTTCCTAAAAAAACTTATGTAGTATGCGCTTATATAAATAATACAATGTATTAGCAATAATCGATAATTTTGAGCACATTAAAAGCAACAATTTAGCTTTTATAATTTAAATATTTTATGAATAAAAAAACAATAAATAAAATAATATATTTCCGCAGTTGACATTTCTTAATAATGCACATTTTTAAATATATGTATTACATCATATGAAACAAATAAAAAATAATACAGTCAAACCTCTCTATAACGAAGTCGTTATAGAGAGGGAGATTCACTACAGAGAGAGGTTTGCAACGTATTTGAGGTAACGAGGTTCAGTATTTGTTTTAAGTGTATGTTAACAAACAAAATAATTTGAGTCTGAACAATTTAAGCATTTCTTTCTTCATTGGACATACCAGTGTCCAAGAATTTTAATAAAGAATACCGACACTTTTTATTTTTGTGAAATGCATAGTAAGACTTTTGTTTTATCAATCCAAGTTGTATGATTCTCAAAAAATGAGTTTTAAACCTCTATATGGGTTTCAGTTGAACCGAATGAGATCTGGGATTTTGAATTAAGATATATTGTTAGGTTTGTCAGTAGTCTTAAATTGGCCGAGTTGATTTTAGAAACTCTGTTCAAAAATTGTTATTGTATTTAAGGTATACCAGATGCCCCGAAAGAATATAGAACTGTTCTGTTTTTAGAAAATGTTTCACTGAGTTTTAAAATCTATGCATAAGCTGAACTTCGCGGGTAAAGGAAAAGTATCGTTTTCACATCGGTAAGGACAATAAATACCTTATGTTTAAAATCTGTTATTGGTTATTTGAATCTATTTAGCACAGTTTTGCTTTTAATTATGTAGCTCTACGTTAGGAGTCTCGTTCATGCAGACTATGGAGCATGAAAAAAATTGAATAAAAAGCTGGATATAGATTCTGGTTCGAAAGTGCTGTTTTAAAACTACGGAAATTTGAACACTTTTATATATACCTAATACCTAATATATAACTATATAACTAATTTATTAGTTCATTATATATCATTATTAAATAATGGGCTATGAATGCATCCCGAATTAAAAGATCTAATGTGCGCCTAAAAGCCCAACTAAAACAATTCTGACTATTTATAAATCTCGTAATTGTTGTGGTTTTAATTTTACATTAAGACTGAAAAGTTTTCGGAAATTCTCATTTAAAATTCGCGCGCTGTATATTTTTCGATATTT